CTGCTAGCTCACGTTAGCTAGCTAGCTTGTTTCAACTCTGATTTGCTAGCATTCGAGGGCTGACTTTTCATAAAAGTTTGTGTAGTGCAAAAATTAATGAAGGATCCAGCTACGGTGGTAATTCGTGTCATGTCTCAGTACTGCTTGTCCATGTGCTAGCTAACAGCAACAAGCCCAGACGAGCTGGCACCAGCTGTGAAACTGGGCTGCGGTGGCCCGGGTTTCCCTCGACCCAGCAGGAATTTGAGAATTCCATTGAGCCAGCTAGAATTTGGCCCTAAATGTAAGTGCCAGTGGAAGCGGGGATTTAGTTTGGCCAACTTTTAGAATTTTGAATATTGTTCTAGTTCTAGACATTCAGAATATAATAGTTTTTTAATATTCATCGTGTAACGTTAATGTGGAATTAACATGGCTGCCATAGAATGTTGAAGGGGTTAAAGTGTAATGTAAATGCATCATAATGCAGAAAACGCATTGGCCCAACTCTCTAAATACATATAGCTAGTTGTCTGCAAGTAACAATTTTTGTAACCTTAATTTCAATTAGGAGTCCCACTGAGTCCAAGGTGTCTTTTGCAAGGGAACCCTGCATCTTACATGATAGGTCTATATTAAACATTTAATAATATATAAATACCCATTTAAATATATTAAATAATATTAAAGTATTTCTGGTATAGCAGTCAGCTTTTCTCTGTACAGTTAGTTTCAGGAGGTTTGTATTTTGTTTACAGCTGGATTACTATAACTGGGGTAAGAAACACTTCAAGAAACCTGAACTAACTTTAGATATCTAGCGAAACTAGCAGCATTGTGCAAGGCAAGGAATTAGAGTAGACCTGAGATCACAAATAAAAAATATTTTGCTGAGAATGACAACTGTGCTAGCTAGCTAGCTTGATGAGTGTGGTTGGAGAACTCTTCTGGTGGTCAAAACAGAAACAGGTGTTCTAGCTAACTGAACAATACACACAGTGTTACACTGAATCAGCACTTTGACCTTCAGAGACGTGAGAGCACTTGAGATCTAATGAGATCAGGCTGAACACACCAGTGTTGCCAACTCCTCAGTAAGGAAAGTAGCTATTGGCTGTCCTAAAAGTAGCTAAATGATGTCATCATAATTTGCATAATTGGCCATGTGCATGTAATTGTGATGGACGCTGTAGGAGAGAGGAATAATGTCGTGGGAGAGACAAAAAGTGAGTAAAAAGCTGCACGATGACTGGGCCGCCTTTTGTGCTACAGGGTGGGGCCCACAGCAACACCCGCTGTGGCAGCACCCGCTGTGGCAGCACCCGCTGCTCGTTGAAAAGAGTAAGAACAATACGTGCTTTCACGTCAGTGTCTCCAATAACACCAGAAAAAGTCACTAGATTTGTCGCTAGTCGCTTTTTTGAAAATGTGTCGCTAGAGGGGTCTGAATACTCGCTAAATATAGCGACAAAGTCGCTAAGTTGGCAACACTGGAACACACATGCTTTTTTCCCCTAGCAGAGACCTGACATGTAAACTCAGAAACGTTAGTAGGTTGAATCCATGCTTAGACTCTGGACCTGTCACAGTAGGAACCATGACCATCAACTGGGAGGGATTTCCAAAATGTAAACTGCTCAGAATAGCTCTGAGCGAATTCCCATAATCTGCTTTAATCCACTGCACTCGACTATCTCGTGCAGATGATGTGTCACCATGGCCTCTAATCGTGTAGCTAACTGAATTACATCCTTACACACACACACAGGGCTCCGGTGTGACTTTTCACTAAGTACAGTTCTAGGATCAGCTTCCCCTCCCCAACACTAACCTTAACCATTAGTGGGGAAAATGCTTAACTGATCCAAGATCAGCATCTAGGGGCAATTTCACCCTACTCTAACTCGTTCTATATTGAAGAATCACATCAAGACGACAGACCCTTGACTTCAACTATTTGTTAGAAATTGCGTAATTCAAATCTGGTATTGGAATAAGAGAAAACATAATCAAGAGATATTCAATCCAAGCTAAATTTATTATATGCAAAATGTATGTATGATAAGTATGAAGGTTCGTATATGGGCTAACTGAAATACCACGCAGGGCAGACAGAGAACTAAACCATTGTTTACAGGTTCTTTCTCAAATACTCTGACAGAGAGTTCCCACCTCTTCTGTTGGCCAATCAGAGTAAAGGACTGAGTGTGGTTTAGACTTTACTCAGCCAATCCGTTGGCGCACGGGTTAGTCCCAAACCCTTGGCGCTCCACCCCTTGGCGCTCCACCGTTCCCAGGCATAAGTTGCTATCATAATAACCTGTAGAGTCAGCACCCAAAAGACACCCTTCCAATCTGTACTCTATGTACCTACGTTCAAGGACGGTTTCACAGACAACAAAGAGAGAGTGTTCGTATCTGTAAGAAATACAAGTCTTATCTGTCCTACCCCCTAACGTTCCTTACATGAATCACAGCCTGTTATGTGAAACAATTTATATCAGTATAGTACAAACCTATGCTTATCATTAATGCATTCCTTCTAAGTTATTCATCACATACAGATCCAATTATGAGAAAAATAGAAGCCAACATATTTAATGATGGTAAAGACACTTGTCATTTGCAGGGCATTATCGATTAACCCAAAACAACCACACTGGCTGTTATTGCTACATTTTCATTACATTGGTAGTCAATTACTGTATCTTGAAGATAAGTAACATACCGCTATAACCACACCAGTGATAAGGATTAGTAACATTTTATTAGAGGGGGTTAAAAGTGACAACTAAGAACAAATTCATGAGAGAAAAGCCATCATTCATAAGTATGTATCTAACATATTAGCAGAAAATGATCGATTTGTAGTTTGCTAGCTAGCTAGCTAGCACATGAGCTGGCATTTCTCAAACCAAAAGATTTATGCACTAGGAACTAGTTGGAATTATAAGAAAGGTGGGGGGAAAAGGTAATAAAGACACATAACCAGTAGGGGTTATGAACTAGGCCTAGTAGTACTAGTAACTATTCCACAGCTGAAATAAAATAAAAATAAACATGATGGGATGGATATAGGACATAACCCACTGGACACAAACTGGTTGATACATTGTTTTTACGCCATTTCAACAAAAACATTTAATGTGATGATGTTGAATCACCATGGAAAAAGTCTGTGCCCAGTGGGAAGTAATACTTTATTTTTTTTACAAATATGTGCTAAGTGGGTTGTAACCAATACCATCAATGGCAGTTTCAGATCTGATTTGAGTTACTGTGGGGGACTTTGTGTTGGTCTGCATTTGTTTTCAATGATTTCGGTGAAAGGGTGATTCTGAAATCAACCCTATACATAAAAGCACATTGTGTTTCAAACAAATATAGTTCCGCACAACTGTAAACATATTGCGGTTTAAGTGCATGTTGCAATAACCTTTTTGTACATCAAATATATAAAAAAAATTGCTATTTACATATACCAAATGAAATAAATTAAGATGCAGTCAAAATGAAGTCCAAAGGATCTGTGGAAGAAGTTAAAAAAATACGATTTCTTTCAATTATTTTGTAGGGATTGATATCCTTGTATGTTATTCTTATTATCGTGAAGCTTGGTCAATTACTAAATTACTATTTTACAAGCTAGTATACAACTCAACAATATTCAACATTTGAGATATGCATTTCCTACAAAGACAATGTTACTATAACAACTAAAGCTATTGGCAAATGGAATGGTATTTAAAACAATTGTTCACCATTTTCCATTCCATAGTTTTGGCTGCTTTTTGCAATCTCCTTAGTAAAGGCCCTGGTTACGGTAACGTCTAGTTAGGACAAGGCAGGATAATAACTGAACAATACAAATATTATAAAGAAAACCAAAACAGTTCATTTCATAATGAGCCATGAATGACTAATTCAGCGTTCTAGTAATACTGTCAAAACCACAGTAGTGTCTTAAGGAATGCAGAAGCTTTACACACTACCTAAAGAAACAATGTCAGACAAGTAACAAGACCCGTCACAACATCTTGAATTATGATATTGCTATACATAAATTCAGCAATATCATCTGTGACGTTTTGATATTGCCTTTAAGGTGGTCCATACTTGTATTAGAACTAGAGTCCAGATAAAACATTGAAAGAAACATGTCAATAATATCATGAAAAGTGCCCTAATTTCTCAGGATATCTAGTGAACACACAAGAGCCTATTTCACTATAACACTGTTGAATTTTTGATTTCAACAAACTCTACTGACTTAAAAATAAGGTGTTTGGTTACAATAGGCTGCCTGAGAATTCTGCTTTCATGTTTTCCCAAACCTCTAGCTTGCTATTACCCCCAATTTTCTATCAGGTTGCAAGTTAAGAGCTTTTAAGGCTCGCACACGTCGCAACGAATGTGCATCTAGTGTTCGTCTGCCGATCATTCACATTTTACACACGATTTTACATGTAAAATCGGTGCGCACTCGGTTTGCAAATTATGTTCAGAGGTGCTAAGTACTCCCGGGCAGCAAACCCTAGTCGTGTGTCTGAGACCCAGCATTGAAATGCTAGCCTGGTAGTAGCAGGTCAGTTTGTGCTTTAGTCAACTCCTCTGTAGAGTTTGTTGTCATGCCATTAACAGATTGTATACCATAACAACAGATGAGGAATTGACTAACTCCTCTGTCAAGTTTGTTGTCATGCCATTAACAGATTGTATACCATAACAACAGATGAGGAATTGACTAACTCCTCTGTCGAGTTTGTTGTCATGCCATAAACAGATTGTATACCATAACAACCGAAGAGGCATTGACTAAAGCACATATATATCCGTAACCAGATTATTGATCTTGTGGCAAAAGTTGTGGGAAATTTCTTCAAAAAAACAAATCCCTTTTCAAATGAAGAGAGGAAGTTTAGAGGACAGGATGAGTCCTTAGGATTCCTATTCCCTATGTAGTGCACCACTTTTGATCAGAGCCTTATGGGGCCCTGGTCAAAAGTAGTGCATTACATGGGGAATAGGGTGCCATTTTAGACGCAAGCCTTCCTTTAATCCCTCTCTCAGTCTGTACCCGGTCACACCATGGCACCAATAGGATCCCACAAGCCATCTCAGTTCTCTTGTAGATATTGGAATATGAAGTCGATATCACATAACCACAGTTAGCAACTTCTTTCAGAGGGCAGTAGCAAAAATAGCACGCCAGGGCTCAGTCAACAGTAGTGTCTATTAGATGAGATCAATGTCCTTGTGGCTGCATCGCGGACCGGTGTCCTCTACCACCTAGTACCCAATCAACCTCCTGATCATGGCGGGTTTAGAGAAGGGCCAGCCGTACTCGTTGGGCACGGGGCCGTTGACGTTGCATTCGAAGAAGGAGAACATGGGGAACCAGATGCGGGCCCTGCGACTCTGCTGGTACGCCCTGGTGTTAGCCAGCGTGTGGTAGTACAGGAACAGCCTGGTGGTGATGTAGAAGGCTATGAAGACGTCAATGGAGTAGTGTTCATGGGCTGCCAGGATAAAGAAGATCCCAAACAAGTTAAGGACCCAGGATAAGGTGTGGATGAAGTTCCAACCCCTCGGTGTGTCTGTTGAAGTAAAATCAGCAAATTGATGCGTTAGAATGTTGAATTTCTGTCATGTTAAACTCAGGTTGTGTACCAAATGACACCCTATACATTGCGCACTACTTTTGACCAGAGCCCTATTGCCTCACAGTGCATTGAATGACACATCTTTATTGATTCTGGTCTCAGTGTAGATCCATTATCTGTATGCGATTTTCAAATCAATCAAACTTTATTTATAGAGCACATCTCTCACAGAGGATGCATTTCAAAGTGCTTAACAAATAAAACAAAAAAGATGAGAAGATAAAAACCTAATACATTTTCTAAAATGAGAGAAATTCAAATAGTAAAACAAAATAACAGTGGACATGAGACTAAAGAATTAAAATAAATAAGATGTATAGAATGGGATAAAATAGTATGGCTAAAAGCACACTATGTAAAAGTATGGCTAAAAAGGTGTCTTAAGATCTTTTTTTTAAAATGTCTACAGTTTCTGAGGCCCCTCCCCTCTGGTAGGCTGTTCCAAAGGCCAGAACCATAATGGCTGAAGGCAGCCTAACCTTTGGAACTAAAAGGCCGGTGCCAGAGGATCTGAGGGACCGACTGGACACATATCTTAAAAGCATATCAGACACGTATTCGGGTGCAAGGCCACGTAGTGCTTTGAAAAGCTTTAAAAACATTTTTAAATGAACTCTAAAACTAGCAGGCAACCAATGCGGGGACTTTAAAATAGGTGGTATGTGTGCTCTCCTTCTGGTTTTCGTTAGCACACTTGCTGCTGTAAAACAGTTTAAATCTGTCAGTGGTTATCGGTGGCTCAGTTGGTAGAGGGTGACACTTGCAACGCCAGGATCGTGGGTTTGATTCCCACTGGGGTCACCCATACGGAAAATGTATGCATGCATGACTAAGTCGCTTTGGACAAAAGCGTCAGGTAAATAAATGGCATATATTATTATATTGTCAGTGGGCTGGTCTTGACGCCTTTTGTGCAGTTACAGCTAATGGACACATGAGGGCAGCAAAGGGACAACACATGACGTACATAAGTTCTTCCCACTACAGTCAAGGATAATTATTGTCTGCAACAGGTGACAGTGAAAGTAACAGTAAAAAGATATGGAAGACTTACATTCTGTCACAAAGAAGTTGAGCATGGTGATGACCACTGTGTGACCGCTGAACATGTAGTCACCACATGTGTGGACACCTGTGAGAGACATTCCAAATCCACTCCAGATGGCCAGAGCTCGATGCAGTTTGGCCCACATATCACCATAAATCTGGGGGGGAAAGAGAAGGAAAGAGTCACTATTGAGATTTGACCCTGTCGTGAGAAGAGTGAAAATTGCTAAAGAAAATTGCTACCCATAGATTGTAACTATAAAAAGCGACACGTGTTATGAAAAGATCATCCTCAACCTGGAGGGAATGCTGATGTGTGTGGAGCTGTAGTACCTTTCCTGAGCACTGCAGGTGCTGTCCTGGCACTGACAGGGAGGTGACGAACATGGTGATGCAACGCAGCATGAACACTGTCCCCATGAGGCTGCACAGGCGCCGCAGCAGAACAGACCTTCAGCAGAGCATACATTACACATGAACTAGACCTGTGGTTTTCAAATCTGTCCCCCGGAAGTTTCACAATTTTGTTGTAGCCCTGAACTAACTCACCTGATTCAAGTAGTCGAAAGCATAATAGTTAGTTGATCATTTGAATGAGGTGGGCTAGCTCTGGAATATTTCAAATACATCGAACGGCTGGGTGTTCCCAAGGACAAGTAAAAAAAACTATGGACTAGGTAAAACATTCCACAATTCTCTTAATTTCATAGAGAAATTCTAGATACTAGTTTAAATAATGTTTAGGCTATCTGTGTGATGAACAAGTTTTCCTATGGACCAGTCAGTAGTCAGTACTCTACCTGTGCTTGTGCAGCAGCAGAACTAGCAGCCAGATATTACACAGGATCACGCCACATGCCTCTGCCATGGCAAAGGCCCATGGTATTCTAGGTACACTGTTAAGAGAAAGAAATGGTTATTGGCTAATCTACTTAATGCAAACTGCCTTGTATTGTGCATTTAGATGATTTTCCCAGGCTTGGCTAATGTTTATGAAGTGTCACTTTAGCCTATTAACAGATAATAATAGCCAATAATACTAATAATATGAATATGATGATGATGAGGAGTATTACCCTATCAACATTACTTCATTGGAAAAATGAAATAGCCTAGTAGATTTCTATGCAAACAGCAAGCCTAAACTTGTGCAACTGGAAAAACACACCTGACAAACCTGCATGAGGTTAACGCAAAAGGCAAGCCGCCTTCTCGATTGCACCAAGATTAGGCTCTATGACAATCTGTAATCCTGCCAGTCAGATCATAAACACAGGGAGCCTAGAGAGCTACATTTAGCCTAGTTCCTGCTTACTCATCTTGCCAACAGTAATCTGCCACGTTATCACACCATGAGTAAGTCAAACTACACTCTCAGTGAGAACAAGCTGGTTGGTCCGGGGGCATGCCCCATTGGGCGTATTTTGTTTTATGAACGACTGATGACTTTTTAAAAAGGATATTCTACTCCAAAATGCATTAAAATGTAATTATGTTATCTAACTTTAAAACTAATCTGAAAATCAAAGACAGTAACATTTTATCTCTTGATCTCAATGACAAAACAGCCAATTCAATATTAACCCAAAAACGTAGTTAGCTAGCGTAACGTTACTGTATCTTAGCTAGCAATTATTCCATACATCTATTAATAGGATTGGCTAGCTAGTTACCTTGGAGGTTTCTTGGACGATCTGATGAGACTGAGGAAGATACGTAACTTGTTGTAACTTGTCACTCTGATCTTAAAAGCGCGTCTCGGAATAAATAAATATTTCCTTAATTTTTTATGTATTTGTTTGCATTGGCGGCAACAGTGCACTGCTCTTAAATGAATATAGGCGAAACACTAGACACCATTGCAAAACGTTTAGCAAAAACAAACAAGTTTATATTGGACAAATTCAGGTAGCCTAAGTAAGTCCCTCCCCGTTTAGTTCAGTTTGCTTGTGTTTGGTTCCTAGTAACCGGTTATCACCACAGCATCAGTTATGTTGACATTCGAAACAGAGGTGTTTGCTGAACAGTCACAAGCTCAAGTAGGTCTACATATACATTGCATAGGATGTGGGGAACAGCATGACCAACAGCAACCCACCTGTCTAAGAAAATGTCTGGCAAGGGCGGGTAGGTGCGCATGTCCGGCACCCTCTCGTGCACGATCACCATGACGAAGGAGGTAAATCCGAACACGAACACAACATAGATGGCACTAAGCACCGTCTTCCAGTACTCAGGGTCCAGCCTCCTGCTCCCTCCATGCTTGTACTTCCCATTCGTATACTGATGATACTGCTCTCCAACCGGTGCAGTATCGGTGTTAGAGTTATCACACTCTCTACTGGAGTCTCCATTGCAGTGCCAGTCCCCACCGCCGCCACCACCTCCGCCGCCCTGAGGGGAGTGTCCGTCGAACGGGACCCCCAGCTCCTCCAGGATGTCCAGGTTTTGTTTCTGCAGCTTGCGGAGGGACACCATCAGCCTCTTGATGTCCCCCAGCACCTTGAGCTCCAATGGGGGAGAGCGTAGGTCGTACTCGCTGAGGGTGAGTAAGGACATGCCGTCCAGACGGTGCTTGTTGCACAGTAGGTCTACATAGTGGCAGAAGCCCTCGTCCTTCAGCCACTTGGCTATGTGCTTGGTGGTCCACTGCCGGATGTTCAGCTGGGTGCTGCTAGACATCTCCTCTTCACTCTGAAACTGTAGAAAACAAACAAAATATTAATCTTGACTCCAAGAACCAAATCTTGCATGTGCCCTTATTAAGTCTGTCACGGGAGAAATGCATATCACGTGAGCAGTCAGTACCCGGTACTTTTACGAAGGAGAAAACACTGTAACTCTGTGTCATTACACAGAGAACTAGTCATCCACCATTTCCACTGAATCAGCATTTCAGAAATACTGTTGGTTCCCTATAAAGCCAAGCAAGACTTCAACACGAGTCACTGACAAAAGAGGCACATACTTTACACTGCTACAAGACAAACTTCACCTTCTCTTCCCGTCTGGTTGTTAAATTGTGGTCACTAAAAACAGTTTTCCACTGAAACATACAGTGAGGGAATTAAGTATTTGATCCCCTGCTGATTTTGTACGTTTGCCCACTGACAAAGAAATGATCAGTCTATAATTTTAATGGTAGGTTTATTTGAACAGTGAGAGACAGAATAACAACCAAAAAATCCAGAAAAACGCATGTCAAAAATGTTATAAATTGATTTGCATTTTAATGAGGGAAGTAAGTATTTGACCCCCTCTAAATCAGAAAGATTTCTGGCACACAGGTGTCTTTTATACAGGTAACGAGCTGAGATTAGGAGCACACTCTTAAAAGGGAGTGCTCCTAATCTCAGTTTGTTCCCTGTATAAAAAAAGACACCTGTCCACAGAAGCAAATCAATCAATCAGATTCCAAACTCTCCACCATGGCCAAGACCAAAGAGCTCTCCAAGGATGTCAGGGACAAGATTGTAGACCTACACAAGGCTGGAATGGGCTACAAGACCATCGCCAAGCAGCTTGGTGAGAAGGTGACAACAGTTGGTGTGATTATTCGCAAATGGAAGAAACACAAAATAACTGTCAATCTCCCTCGGCCTGGGGCTCCATGCAAGATCTCACCTCGTGGAGTTGCAATGATCATGAGAACGGTGAGGAATCAGCCCAGAACTTCACGGGAGGATCTTGTCAATGATCTCAAGGCAGCTGGGACCATAGTCACCAAGAAAACAATTGGTAACACACTATGCCGTGAAGGACTGAAATCCTGCAGCGCCCGCAAGGTCCCCCTGCTCAAGAAAGCACATATACAGGGCCGTCTGAAGTTTGCCAATGAACATCTGAATGATTCAGAGGAGAACTGAGTGAAAGTGTTGTGGTCAGATGAGACCAAAATCGAGGTCTTTGGCATCAACTCAACTCGCCATGTTTGGAGGAGGAATGCTGCCTATGACCCCAAGAACACCATCCCCACCGTCAAACATGGAGGTGGAAACATTATGCTTTGGGGGTGTTTTTCTGCTAAGGGGACAGGACAGCTTCACTGCATCAAAGGGACGATGGACGGGGCCATGTACCGTCAAATCTTGGGTGAGAACCTCCTTCCCTCAGCCAGGGCATTGAAAATGGGTAGTGGATGGGTATTCCAGCATGACAATGACCCAAAACACACGGCCAAGGCAACAAAGGAGTGGCTCAAGAAGAAGCACATTAAGGTCCTGGAGTGGCCTAGCCAGTCTCCAGACCTTAATCCCATAGAAAATCTGTGGAGGGAGCTGAAAGTTCGAGTTGCCAAACATCAGCCTCGAAACCTTAATGACTTGGAGAAGATCTGCAAAGAGGAGTGGAACAAAATCCCTCCTGAGATGTGTGCAAACCTGGTGGCCAACTACAAGAAACATCTGACCTCTGTGATTGCCAATAAGGGTTTTGCCACCAAGTACTAAGTCATGTTTTGCAGAGGGGTCAAATACTTATTTCCCTCATTAAAATGCAAATCAATTTATAACACTTTTGATATGCGTTTTTCTGGATTTTGTTGTTGTTATTCTGTCTCTCACTGTTCAAATAAACCTACCATTAAAATTATAGACTGTTCATGTCTTTGTCAGTGGGCAAACGTACAAAATCAGCAGGGGATCAAATACTTAATTCCCTCACTGTATGTGCTCCTAAGAAAGGACTTAGCCTAGCCTACAGTACACATAGTCAGACTTGAACTTATTTACCTATATCCCTCAAGTACAGAAACTGTGTGTGTCAAGCTAATATTGACGACAGACAAAGTAACAGAAACAGTTGCTTAATCATGAGAGCCACACCCTCCATTATTCCATTGTGGAATACAAGCGTTGTCACATATGGGGTAAAGAGCAACTTGAACTAGACTTGCTTGCTTCTGTTTTGAGAACAGAGCAACAATCCATTACATTCTTTTGGGTTGGGCTGTGTGTCAAAAGGGGAAAAAAAGACAGCCCAAAAACGCAGCAGCCCATCTATACTTAACAAAAATATAAACGCAACAATTTCAAAGATTTTGCTGAGTTGCAGTTCATGTAAGGAAACCAGTCAATTGAAATAAATTCATTAGGCCCTAATCTATGGATTTCACATGACTGGGCAAAGGCTCAGAATGAGTTTTTCCCCTACAAAAGGGCTGTATTACAGACATGGACGTACTGCCAAATTCTCTAAAACGACGTTGGCTTATGGTAGAGAAATGAACATTCTCTGGTGGACATTCCTGCAGTCAGCATGCAAATTGCACACTCCCTCAAAACATCTCTGACATTGTGTTGTGTGACAAAACTGCACATTTTAGAGTGGCCTTTTATTGTCCCCAGCACAAGGTGCACCTGTGTAATGATCATGCTGTTTAATCAGCTTCTTGATATGCCACACCAGTCAGGTGGATGGATTATCTTGAGAAAGGATAAAATGCTCACTAACAGGGATGTAAACAAATGTGCCCATAACTTTAGAGAAATAAGCTTTTTGTGCGTTTGGAAAATTTCAGGGATCTTTTATTTCAGCTCATGAAACATTGGACCAACACTTTACATGTTGCGTTTATATTTTTGTTCAGTTTATAAACAGAATTATGTGCAGAGATTCACAAATGTGACTGATACAGTATTAAGACTTGAACTTGACATTCAATCTGTATCACTGAAGCGTTAGATTGTGCGATAGAAATGTAAAGGTAGGCCTAATTTTAGATTGAGCCTTCATATGCAGCGTTTACCATGAATGTAGTCTCCGCTAACGCAGGAAAATTGCCTTTAAATTTCAATCACACTATAACGCTGAACTTCCACGATACAATTTAATTTTTGTTCAGTATATTTGGCAGTAGCCGTCTAAACTTAACTCTGCGATTTATGATGGAGTTGAGCAGCAATTAGTGTGGGCGGACTGGAGCTTCGACTTCAAAAACTACAGCACCCAAAGAACAGCCCGCAATTAATGGGTGCTGAAATCAGTCATTTTTTACGTTGGAGCTCCAGTCCTTCCACACCAGTCGATGCCTGAGTATGTGAGTGGACAATTTGACTGGAAAGCGGAGCCAGATTCCCAAAGGCTGGAGCGTCGGCCTTCTCGCCCGCTCCAATTTCGCTCACTTCACCAGCTCAGGGCATGCCCGGCCCAGCATACATTTGTAGTCTACTTGTGTGCTGCTATAGCCCCTTGCTTTAGCTACTGTCATGGAGTTAGCTAAATATTTTCTTTAAAAAATTGATAAAAACACACATGTGCAAAATCAAGCTGACTTACAAAGATGAGGACCAAGAGCAAGAGAGGGAGTGCCGTGATGTAGTGTCCACAACTAAATATTCATTGTGGAATCTGAAAATACACATATCCCGAAAGCATGATGGTGTACTTAGAACGTGCACATGCTAAAGAAAGGATCGAGGTGGGTAGATAACTAAGTGTGTCATTGTAGCAAAGTATTTATAAACAAAAAATCAAATTTCTTAAACGTTTCGTTCATTTTTGTTCGATTATCTATACAATAGGCCATAATTGATTTTGGCCCAATAGGCCTGGCATATTCCCATGTTCAAGGAGATTTCCGTTTTGATTGGATTATTTTGCCTAAAAACCTTTAGGCCAACCTATAGAAAAATAAAAACAACAACTCTGCATCTCTGCCCAGCCTGGCAAGAGTGGCCAAAAGGGTGTTTAGCATCCCCAGTGGCTCTGCAAGTGTGGAGAGGATATTCTCTGCTGCTGGCCGGCTCTCCAGGCAACATCGCATGAGCCTAAAGTCACAGACTGGCCAAACTCATGTTTCTAAGAATGAATTCTAAAAATGAATTCTAAAGCACTAATAAGTCATTTTTCATTTAATTTGTATTTAATTCTCAGTAATTCACAGCCTATATGCTCAATTTATAGACTATAATGATTTAATACAACAACATTGTGTTTAAATGCTGAGGGTTATATGTCCCTACCAGCCTATTGTGTCGCACTCGCAAATGTTTCACAATGTATTTCTTTGTAGGCTATAGCCTTGAAATAATTGAAATAATATAGCCTAAATAATTCATTTTAGTTCCTTCTTAGGCTCCCTGTCTGGCTCCTGACCTATTTAGGGTGTTTATATGCTGTTTAGTATGACATGATGCAAACTTCTTACATTCACCTTTTCATGTTTATTCAAATACTTTTCATTCAAATCAAGTGGTTTGGTTTCAATACTTAAAAACAAAATGGTAGGTCCAGGTAGTCACAATAATAGATGGGTGTTCATTAAATTGTGATTTTAATGAATGGAGCTGCAGTTTTTATTTTCTGTGAGCAAGGAGAGGTTTTTAGCGGAGCAGTTGGAAAGGACGTGGAGCGCCTGAGCGGTGCGCAAGCACCACTCCATGAGCAGGATTTCCAACCGATCAAATACTCTGGTCGATGCTCAACTGCATCATAAATCGTGGAGTTGAGCTTCATCGGCTAACTTGACAGAGGACAGTGTTCTAATGATGGGAAGTTAATTTGGGTCAGATAAACTGAAAAGTCGAAATAGTAATGATTCTGCAAGCCTCTCGTTCACAATAAGGGGCTTAATGGAGCTGTCATTTGTGACAGACTTGTAAAACTGTGGTTTAAAGAATGTACATTTGTTGATTGCTAGGCACACAAATAAGATAATTTCTTGGTACATTTGAAACAAGGTCTAGTTGTGGCCGCGACCGGACTAAATCGTGAACGACTTGGCAGAACGCATTACTTGACTGCCGTGAGCGTAATACGCACAATATCGTTCGCGGACCGATTCGTTCTCGAGTTCCGAGTTTGTTGAGCAGAGGCTGTGTATGTTTTGGTTCTACAAAGCTGTGTCCATCATAACATTCAATAATCAATTAATTGCATTCATTCTTGCACCATGCGATTAATTATCAGTTCTAAACATGTACAGTTGAAGTCGGAAGTTTACATACAGAGTTTGGAGTCATTAAAACTCGTTTTTCAACCACTCCACAAATATCTTGTTAACAAACTATGGTTTTGGCAAGTCGGTTAGGACATCTACTTTGTGCATGACACAAGTCATTTTTCCAACAATTGTTTACAGACATTATTTCACTGTATCACAATTCCAGTGGGTCAGAAGTTTAGATACACTATGTATTTCAAGGTCTACCTTCAAACTCAGTGCCTCTTTGCTTGACATCATGGGAAAATCAAAGAGATCAGCCAAGTAATAATTGTAAACATCCACAAGTCTGGTTCATCCTTGGGTGCAATTTCCGAACGCCTGAAGGAACCACATTCATCTGTACAAACAATAATACGCAAGTATAAACACCATGGGACCACGCAGCCGTCATTCCGCTCAGGAAGGAGACGCGTTCTGTCTCCTAGAGATGAACGTACTTTGGTGCGAAAAGTGCAAATAATATGCCATTTAGCAGACGCTTTTATCCAAAGCGACTTACAGTCATGCGTGCATACATTTTTTTGTGTATGGGTGGTCCCGGGGATCGAACCCACTACCTTGGCGTTACAAGCGCCGTGCTCTACCAGCTGAGCTACAGAGGACCACCAAATCAATTCCAGAACAACAGCAAAGGACCTTGTTAAGATGCTGGAGGAAACAGGTACAGTAATTATCTATATCCACAGTAAAACGAGTCCTATATCGACATAACCTGAAAGGCCGCTCAGCAAGGAAGAAGCCACTGCTCCAAAACCGCCATAAAAAAGCCAGAATACGGTTTGCAACTGCACATGGGGACAAAGATCGTACTTTTTGGAGAAATGTCCTCTGGTCTGATGAAACAAAAATAGAACGGTTTGGCCATAATGACCATTGTTATGTATAAGGGAAAAGGGGGTGGCTTATAAGCCGAAGAACACCATCCCAACCGTGAAGCACGGGGTGGCAGCATCATGCTGTGGGGGTGCTTTGCTGTAGGAAGGACTGGTGCACTTCACAAAATAGATGGCATCATGAGAAAGGAAAATTATGTGGATATATTGAAGCAACATCTCAAGACATCAGTCAGGAAGTTAAAGCTTGGTCGCAAATGGGTCTTCCAAATGGACAATGACCCCAAGCATACTTCCAAAGTTGTGGCAAAATGGCTTAAGGACAATAAAGTCAAGGTATTGGAGTGGCCATCACAAAGCCCTGACCTCAATCCTATATTAAATGTGTGGGCAGAACTGAAAAAGCGTGTGCGAGCAAGGAGGCCTACAAACCTGACTCAGTTACACCAGCTCTGTCAGGAAGAATGGGCCAAAATTCACCCAACTTATTGTAGGAAGCTTGTGGAAGGCTACCCGAAACGACCCAAGTTAAACAATTTAAAGGCAATGCTACCAAATACTAATTGAGTGTATGTAAACTTCTGACCCACTGGGAATGTGATGAAAGAAATAAAAGCTTAAATAAATCACTCTCTACTATTATTCTGACATTTCACATTCTTAAAATAAAGTGGTGATCCTAACTGACCTAAGACAGGGAATTTTTACTAACACTAAATGTCAGGAATTGTGAAAAACTGAGTTTAAATGTATTTGGCTAAGGTGTATGTAAACTTCCGACTTCAACTGTATGTTCTTCTCTGCCTGCACATCACTACTGTGTTCAGTGTCCCTGGCAAGACAAACTGTCCCCATATGATGGTATTCCCACACTTAAGTCTTGCACCCATTAAACGCAATACAGATTACTTGTGGGCTGTTAACTAATATCAAAGAATCCCTCAATAAACGAAACAACACAATATACAATACACAGAGAATGATGGTTAAATAAAGGTGAAAAAAACAACATCATCTCTGGCAACAAGCCCATTGTCTTCAGCAGGCCAGGCAGAGATTAGTTAGCTAACGTTGTTGGCTACACAGTAGTAGTTAGCTGATACAGGCAGCTAGCTATCTGCACGAGTGACTGATATACCCCCGATCCCAGTAAGCTTGCTGTGTAGATACCTAAAAATATACAGAACACATTTCCATGCTCCGAATACATTAGCTAGCAACAAAGCGTACATTCAGGCATAGCGTACCAGCTGGCTAGCATGCTAACGTTAGGCTGATATGTTAGCTAACTAACCAGCAGTAATTACTCACCAGAATTCAGATTCAACGGTTAGTTAGCTGCCGCGGTGAGCAATATGACTAGCTATATGGCATCTCACATGAGTCTGACGAAGCTATATTTACGTTTAGTGCAATAAGAGGATTGAGGCAAATCATTTCGCCCCGCTGCTGATTATTATCTGCTTTGCTGTGGACATTACCAAAAAGGAGCGTCGGCCGTAAACACTAGAAAAGCCGCGCACTAGTCAGTCTTCTTGTACAATGACCTCTACTGGTGAAATTACAGTATCGGTATGCAAAGTACAGTAAGTAGTGCAATGCATTGTTTATAATAATAATAATAATATGCCATTTAGCAGACGCTTTTATCCAAAGCGACTTACAGTCATGCGTGCATACATTTTTGTGTATGGGTGGTCCCGGGGATCGAACCCACTACCTTGGCGTTACAAGCGCTGTGCTCTACCAGCTGAGCTACAGAGGACCACATAAAATAACCTATAACATAATGTAGAATATATAAAAATGTGGTGAGTCACTCACTGTAGCCGACCTTAGCTCTTTGTAAAGTTGCAAGACATATGTAAGTTTAACTACACAAACAGACATAAATCAGGTCATTTTAATTTTAGACTGAGGGGAAGGAAGGACACCTGTTCCTGTCACTATACATAGGCCTATCTAAAGCCTCAACTAGGCTAATTACCACCCTACAACATCAGAAAATGAAAAGGAAAGATAGCTAATATCGCATAAGAGCCATTTATACCACAGTGTTGTTATTGTGCCTTTTAAAATATTTTCAATTGAATCTTATTTAAAGCTCTCACAATGTATCCTGTGCATATGACAAATAAACTTTGATTTGTATGTTGGAAGTAGTCCATTTAATGAGCAAATAAAAACATCCCCATGCAAACAAACATCATCCATCGAGCACACCTGCAGCAGGTCAGTTATCATGAAAGGGGATCTCCCAGCCTCTGTCATTTACATCTGCAACAACATCATCACCCTGCAAGAACAGAGATCACAGAATGACAGCCAAATGATGGATGACTACGATCATTTTAGATAATGGCATTGGCAATGGCAGGGATACAAATTGCTGACATCTTTGTGTGTTGTTTCTCCACATTGTTTTATGTCAGGAGAAACAGTAATCCATGTTTTGGTTTACTTTAAAATGCCATTACAAACTTCAGCCAACTTTAGCCACCGCTAGCTAAAACTCAATGGCATGATAGGGGCAACCGTGCAATCAATAAAATGACATGGTCAAATCAACTCAAATATTTGGTTTGATGTTACCTGAAGATGATTAGGCCCTATACACTTCCATTGGTTGTCAGCTAGCTATGGCTAAAATTAGCTGAAGTTTGTAGTGGCTGTTAAAAAACATTTAAGAAAATCGAAACATGGAATACAGGTTCCCCTGGCCTATAAGCCACTTTCAGGCTGAGGAACCATCTAACATCAGGTTGTAAAATACTGACTGTTGTGAATGGTCATGCCACTCCTACAGTCTTCTAATTGTCTCCAATTATCCTAGGGCACTGCCCTTTCCTCCACACCTGTTTTCATTCCCAAATCACCTCTCCTCTTCCTTTTTCACACCTTTCTGTTTCCTCCCTACATGCTAGAATAGTTTGCTTGGTGATGCCACAGGGTGGCCCTATCCATCCTCCCATTGTGCGTGATATGATTAAGTAAGTGCCTTATATTGTAGGAGAAATGTAAGTTAACCATGTATATTATGCTGCCAGAACTTATGACGTATCCTTTATATCCATGCTATGCTAATGTCCCTTTATGTTTAGTCCTGGCATTCTCCTTAGTTTGTAGTTACAGTATATGTTAAGCCCATTCCCTGTATGTCACATCCTTCCTAACTCTACCTCGGTTCCAAACCCTCCCCATGTGCCTCTGTTCATTCCTGTGTTCAACTGTGTGTAATAAATACCCCTAAACCTGGATTCCTGCTCCATACATTTACATTTTAGTCATTTAGCAGACACTCTTATCCAGAGCGACTTACAGTTAGTGAGTACATACATTATTATTATTATTATTTTATTTTTCCATACTGGCCCCCCGTGGGAATCAAACCCACAACCCTGGCGTTGCAAACGCCATGCTCTACCAACTGAGCAACATCCCTGCCGGCCATTCCCTCCCCTACCCTGGACGACACTGGGCCAATTGTGCGCCGCCCCATGGGTCTCCCGGTCGCGGCCGGCTACGACAGAGCCTGGATTCGAACCAGGATCTCTAGTGGCACAGCTAGCACTGCGATGCAGTGCCTTAGACCACTGCGCCACTCCATCACTTGATTCACACTCTGACCAATGCACCATGGTGGAAGAAACAGTCCTGACTGATGCACCATGGTGGCAGAATCAGTCCTGAACTTAGCTTACAATCTATCCTAGTCCTTTTCTTCACTGACCTTCCCCTATAACTATGACTCCCAGCCCACAATTACAACCTAAGCTTGATTGAAATGCTGTGTTCATGCTGTGGGAAGGTGGTATTTACCACATCTGACCATAGCCGTGGGAAGATGTTTTGAGAAGGGGGTGCTGACCGCAGAGTTGAAAAAAATCCCCTTTATAATAAAGCATTTTCAGGCTAACAAAATACAATTCCTAATGTGATGAGTAGCCTAAGCAATATTGGGTAACAGTAGTCACCGCAGCCTAAGTTAATTTAACTCCATGACTGTTTGCAAAACAAAATAGACTGTTGTGAACAGAGCACACATTTCTTTATAGGTCCACTGCAATTACACTGTGAGAGAGAGAAAACGACAGGGGTGTTGTAACTAAATTAGTCAACACAAGATTGTGCCTATCAGAACTGAGCACAAATGGACAGCTATGCGATCCATCGTAGCATGGGCAGATTGGCTGTCTGGCTAATGACAGAATTGCAGGACCATCTTTTATTGGGGTGGGGTGGTTATTATTAACTTTTTTATATATACACTGCTCAAAAAAATAAAGGGAACACTAAAATAACACATCCTAGATCTGAATGAATGAAATAACCTTATTAAATACTTTTTTATTTACATAGTTGAATGTGCTGACAATAAAATCACACAAAAATTATCAATGGAAATCAAATTTATCAACCCATGGAGGTCTGGATTTGGAGTCACCCTCAAAATTAAAGTGGAAAACCACACTACAGGCTAATCCAACTTTGATGTAATGTCCTTAAAACAAGTCAAAATGAGGCTCAGTAGTGTGTGTGGCCTCCACGTGCCAGTATGACCTCCCTACAACACCTGGGCATGCTCCTGATGAGGTGGCGGATGGTCTCCTGAGGGATCTCCTCCCAGACCTGGACTAAAGCATCCGCCAACTCCTGGACAGTCTGTGGTGCAACGTGGCGTTGGTGGATGGAGCGAGACATGATGTCCCAGATGTGCTCAATTGGATTCAGGTCTGGGGAACGGGCGGGCCAGTCCATAGCATCAATGCCTTCCTCTTGCAGGAACTGCTGACACACTCAAGCCACATGAGGTCTAGCATTGTCTTGCATTAGGAGGAACCCAGGGCCAACCGCACCAGCATATGGTCTCACAAGAGGTCTGAGGATCTCATCTCGGTACCTAATGGCAGTCAGGCTACCTCTGGCGAGCACATGGAGGGCTGTGCGGCCCCCCAAAGAAATGCCACTCCACACCATGACTGACCCACCGCCAAACCGGTCATGCTGGAGGATGTTGCAGGCAGCAGAACGTTCTCCACGGCGTCTCCAGACTCTGTCACGTCTGTCACATGTGCTCAGTGTGAACCTGCTTTCATCTGTGAAGAGCACAGGGCGCCAGTGGCGAATTTGCCAATCTTGGTGTTCTCTGGCAAATGCCAAACATCCTGCACGGTGTTGGGCTGTAAGCACAACCCCCACCTGTGGACGTCGGGCCCTCATACCACCCTCATGGAGTCTGTTTCTGACCGTTTGAGCAGACACATACACATTTGTGGTCTGCTGGAGTTCATTTTGCAGGGCTCTGGCAGTGCTCCTCCTGCTCCTCCTTGCACAAAGGCGGAGGTAGCAGTCCTGCTGCTGGGTTGTTGCCCTCCTACGGCCTCCTCCACGTCTCCTGATGTACTGGCCTGTCTCCTGGTAGCACCTCCATGCTCTGGACACTACGCTGACAGACACAGCAAACCTTCTTGCCACAGCTCGCATTGATGTGCCATCCTGGATGAGCTGCACTACCTGAGCCACTTTTGTGGGTTGTAGACTCCGTCTCATGCTACCACTAGAGTGAAAGCACCGCCAGCATTCAAAAGTGACCAAAACATCAGCCAGGAAGCATAGGAACTGAGAAGTGGTCTGTGGTCACCACCTGCAAAACCAGTACTTTATTGGGCGGTGTCTTGCTAATTGCCTATAATTTCCACCTGTTGTCTATTCCATTTTCACAACAGCATGTGAAATGTATTGTCAATCAGTGTTGCTTCCTAAGTGGACAGTTTGATTTCACAGAAGTGTGATTGACTTGGAGTTACATTGTGTTGTTTAAGTGTTCCCTTTATTTTTTTGAGCAGTGTATATACAGTGCCTTCAGAAATTATTCACACCCCTTGACTTATTCCTCATTTTGTGTTACAGCCTGAATTTAAAATGTATTAAATTGAGATTTTTGGTCACTGGCCTACACACAATACCCCATGCCAAAGTGATTTAATTTAATTTTTTTTTATACAAATTAATTTTTAAAAAGCTAAAATGTCTTGTTATCACAAGCCTAAATAAGTTCAGGCGTAAACATTTGCTTAAGTCACATAAGTTGCACATAAGTGTTTAACATGATTTTTGAATGACTTCCTCATCTCTGTACCCCACACATACAATTATCTGTAAGGTCCCTCAGTTGAGCAGTGAAATACAGAAGATAGCCCTATTTGGTAAAAGACAAAGTACATATTATGGCAAGAACAGCTCAGATAAGCAAAGGGCAATGACAGTCCATCATTAATTTAAGACATGAAGGTCAGTCAATCCGGAAAATTTCAAGAACTTTTAAAGTTTCTTCAAGTGCAGTTGCAAAAACCATCAAGCGCTATGATGAAACTGGCTCTCATGAGGACCGCCACAGGAATGGAAGACCCAGAGTTACCTCTGCTGCAGAGGATACGTTCATTAGAGTGACCAGCCTCAGAAATTGCAGCCCAAATAAATGCTTCACAGA